GGGCTCTCTGGGAGGCGCCCAGAGGCAGGGGGTCCCCATGGCGCCCGCAGGCAGGGAGTCTCCCAACCCCACTGCATGGGCTGGGCAGGTGCCCGCCTCCCTCACCTGCAAACCCACAGGTGGTCCCAGGAACCGAGTGGGTGAGCCAACCTCTGTCCATCCGTCCGGGCCACAGCCCCTCGCGGACCCCAGACCGGTTCCTGCGCTTCCCGTGGCCGCGCTTCCCGTGGCCGCGCTTCCCATGGCCGTACTTACCGTGGCTGCGCTTCCCGTGGCCGCGCTCCCCATGGCAGCACTTACCGTGGCCGCACTTACCGTGGCCAGCTCGTCGAACTTGCCAAAGAGCTCGTTGAGCAGCTTGACCAGCTCCTGGGCCGTGCACTGCGACGCCAGCCCCGTGAAGCCCACGATGTCGGCGAAGAGGATGCTGCAAGACAGGGGATGCCCGTCACCGCTCGCCTCAGACCAGGCTGCCGCATGCAGCTGCCCTTCACAGTCACCTTGAAGCACATCTTCCTGCTTTTTCCTCAACCCAGACTGGAAGCCACGGCTCCTTCCTCCCATTTCACAGGAGAGAAGACAGGTCGGAAGGACCACGGGCTCTGGTGTCACAGGGGCAGGAGACACTGCGGCCGCTCAGAGGCCCCTGGCCCTGGTCCAGCCTCAGCCCCGCCGGGCCCTGCGGGGACCTCCACACACTTGCCTCACTTTCTGAACCTCAACTTCCTCACAAAGTCGAGGTGCGATCGATGCTGGCAGATCTCAGGGGAGTGATGATGAACCGAGTGCCCAGAGGGGAAGCTCCTCCTGCCTGGGCTCGAACCCTGGCCCACACCGTGGCCTCTCCCTCCTGGTCTTCAGGGGACCCTCTCTAGGGGGACAACTATCCTCCTCCATCACCTCCACCTCCTCCATCTCCTCCTCCATCCCCTCCATCACCTCCATCACCTCCTCCATCACCTCCTCCATCACCTCCTCCATCACCTCCTCCATCACCTCCTCCATCACCTCCTCCATCACCTCCTCCATCACCTCCTCCATCACCTCCTCCATCACCTCCTCCATCACCTCCTCCATCACCTCCTCCATCACCTCCTCCATCACCTCCTCCATCACCTCCTCCATCACCTCCTCCATCACCTCCTCCATCACCTCCTCCATCACCTCCTCCATCACCTCCTCCATCACCTCCTCCATCACCTCCTCCATCACCTCCTCCATCACCTCCTCCATCACCTCCTCCATCACCTCCTCCATCACCTCCTCCATCACCTCCTCCATCACCTCCTCCATCACCTCCTCCATCACCTCCTCCATCACCTCCTCCATCACCTCCTCCATCACCTCCTCCATCACCTCCTCCATCACCTCCTCCATCACCTCCTCCATCACCTCCTCCATCACCTCCTCCATCACCTCCTCCATCACCTCCTCCATCACCTCCTCCATCACCTCCTCCATCACCTCCTCCATCACCTCCTCCATCACCTCCTCCATCACCTCCTCCATCACCTCCTCCATCACCTCCTCCATCACCTCCTCCATCACCTCCTCCATCACCTCCTCCATCACCTCCTCCATCACCTCCTCCATCACCTCCTCCATCACCTCCTCCATCACCTCCTCCATCACCTCCTCCATCACCTCCTCCATCACCTCCTCCATCACCTCCTCCATCACCTCCTCCATCACCTCCTCCATCACCTCCTCCATCACCTCCTCCATCACCTCCTCCATCACCTCCTCCATCACCTCCTCCATCACCTCCTCCATCACCTCCTCCATCACCTCCTCCATCACCTCCTCCATCACCTCCTCCATCACCTCCTCCATCACCTCCTCCATCACCTCCTCCATCACCTCCTCCATCACCTCCTCCATCACCTCCTCCATCACCTCCTCCATCACCTCCTCCATCACCTCCTCCATCACCTCCTCCATCACCTCCTCCATCACCTCCTCCATCACCTCCTCCATCACCTCCTCCATCACCTCCTCCATCACCTCCTCCATCACCTCCTCCATCACCTCCTCCATCACCTCCTCCATCACCTCCTCCATCACCTCCTCCATCACCTCCTCCATCACCTCCTCCATCACCTCCTCCATCACCTCCTCCATCACCTCCTCCATCACCTCCTCCATCACCTCCTCCATCACCTCCTCCATCACCTCCTCCATCACCTCCTCCATCACCTCCTCCATCACCTCCTCCATCACCTCCTCCATCACCTCCTCCATCACCTCCTCCATCACCTCCTCCATCACCTCCTCCATCACCTCCTCCATCACCTCCTCCATCACCTCCTCCATCACCTCCTCCATCACCTCCTCCATCACCTCCTCCATCACCTCCTCCATCACCTCCTCCATCACCTCCTCCATCACCTCCTCCATCACCTCCTCCATCACCTCCTCCATCACCTCCTCCATCACCTCCTCCATCACCTCCTCCATCACCTCCTCCATCACCTCCTCCATCACCTCCTCCATCACCTCCTCCATCACCTCCTCCATCACCTCCTCCATCACCTCCTCCATCACCTCCTCCATCACCTCCTCCATCACCTCCTCCATCACCTCCTCCATCACCTCCTCCATCACCTCCTCCATCACCTCCTCCATCACCTCCTCCATCACCTCCTCCATCACCTCCACCTCCTCCATCACCTCCTCCACCTCCTCCATCTCCTCCATCTCCTCCTCCATCACCTCCACCCCCTCCATCACCTCCTCCATCACCTCCTCCATCACCTCCTCCATCACCCCCACCTCAGCTCCCAGGCTCGGCCACAGGCCAGCGCACTACCTCACGTTGTCATGCCGCTGGATGTAAATCTTGTGGAAAATCCTCTCCGGGGGCTTCAGGAAGTCCTCCTTCATCTCCATGGCAACGTTCCGGGGCAGGAGGCTCATGAGCAGCCGCTCCTGGACGGAGAGACGGTGGTGCTGCAGGGCCCTCCCTGTGCATCCTCCAGGCATCGGCCCCGGACGAGGGCTCGGCCCTCCTCCCCGCAGCCAGCAGCA